TTGCCACGCCGAGAGACTACGGACTATGCGTCGTTCTACCCAGCGACATCATCACGGGCCTCACAGCCCCCCATACCTACAGCAGGAGTGACTCTCCCACCTGAGGCCGTGGCAGCCGTCGCCGATATCCTCATGGGACGTCACAATTCACCGGGCGACCACCACGGGTCCAACAAATCCTGGGGTTCTAGGTATCCTCCACACTAAACCAGTGATGGCCAATTCAAAAAAAAAAAAAAAAAAGTACGGCAGTACCTGATATGGGCGTCCTCCGGGAGTAAGCCCCTGAAGAAGACTTATAATTTAGGTTTTGTAAACGAGTATCAATACGTCAATTTTCTTTGGTATTCCTTCTGTCGCATTCCGGACCGAGTCCACTATTTTGACGAGATCAAAGTCATTTAGTTTTTTTTTGATAAGCGAAATCCAATTATTTAGTTCAGTTTTTTTCGTTTGTTTCCACATTCATGGGGCTATTCCCCTATTATTTCATTCTTTTATGTCTCTTCTTTTCCCCTCAAGATGTTAGGAGGGAAATCCAGGGCGAAGACCCAAGTTAAAGCTCACCAGTTTTTTTTTTTTCATCGCAATCGTAATAAATAGAGTATGGACCAACAAAGAAGTCTAGTCCTTCAAATGCTCCCGCTACCTCTCAGGTCGTGGATTCGAGGTTAAGTTTTGTTAAATATAAACATCCAAATCTTGGTCAGACGTCCGACAACGAACATCCACGCCGACAACAGATCAACAACAATGAGGCGAACACGGATACCAACGGTCAAAGGAGGGGGGTGTAACGAACATGTGGGGATGTTCGTTAGGAACACCAAAAGCAATCTGGAGAAAGCGAGACTCCTACAACGTTGAATTAAAATCCGTGAGTAAGAATCCTAGAGCGAGAGAGTGAGAGTCCCTTATCCACTTCCGAGTGGCTTATTTCCGGTTAGAGTTATCGGTTCCGTTTATTAGAAAAGATTAGTAATTACGTGTCTTTGAGGGCCCAGAAAAATTATCGTGACGAAGGGCCAAAATTATAGAGTCATCCGGTTCTTTTTATGGGGTTCACCCTATTGTTAATCTTGCGGGTAATCGAATAGGTCCGGCTGAAATGCCGGCGCTCCAATTTCGTTGGATTTTCAGGGGTTAATTGGTTACGTTTTTTGTTTTGGGTGGAAGGTCGTTCGGAGCGAGAGCAACCATCGTCTCCAACGAATCGCCAGGTTGCCTTTGGGTTTTCGATGAGAGAAACGAGTTGAGAAGGAATTAGTGGTGGAGTAATAACAAGTGCCGGTAACTTGTCTTTTAACCCCGAAAATCCCAGAGATCCGATCCGTGGGAAGCGCCAAAGACCCTTAGTAATTATCCGAACGACAATCAGTTCGGCCTAGTCTCGCGTAATAATTAATAAAAAGGAACTAGTTTTGTGTTAGATGATTAGAGAAAAGTTAGGTGAGATTTGAATAATCGCGCCAGGTCGTGAGAGTCATGATTAATTGTCGTTAGATTCGCACCTTCGAGGGGCGTGTCCGCACCAATCAAAATTCGGGTGATTGAGCGGTGAATTCCGCGCTCTGTGGTGTCTCGAGACGCTCGTGAGTTCGGCAGTTCGGCGTTGGGCCTTGACCTCACCGGAATTAGTGCCAGTACAGTGCCCATCGTAGGATTATTTGGATCATATCTACGCGATGGTGAAGAACCCCCCAAAGAGGGGTAAGAAACCCAAAGTGAGTTTTTAGTTCGGTCTATTTATTTTTTCCGAATTCATTTCAGCCTTTAGTTATTCGATTACGGGGCCTTCGGCCCCGTACGTCGCATTTTATTCCGTTAAAACGGTGATTGTGGAGAATAATTCAATTGTGAAGTGCCGATCCCCTCCCCCTTTTTTTTCACTCAGGATTGGGTGGTTGTCGTGATTTTTTTGATGGGTTATTCGAGGGGATTTCTCCCCTTTTTGGGGTTATTTCCGGCTCAAACCCGGCTCCGATCACACTGTGCATCGGGTTATGACGTTGGTTAAAGATCTTTTATGCGAATCTATCCGAGAAAAACCCCTCCGGAGGGGATAATTACCACGGTTAATTGCTAGAGCGCGTCCATTCCCGTTACACGTGGGTTTTCGCGCGTAAGAAATTCCACTCGTGTTCAAATTGAGTTGGTTCGCGTAGATAGTTAACTAAAATTATGGTTTGTAGATCAATGTGTTCGGGAGGCTTCCCTGAGTAATTCATCTCAGGGTTTCCGAAAATTCGCTCTGCCGATTTCCGGATATTCAATTTTTGATTTTTATGGATTTCCAGCCCATTCTCGCTGGCCTGTACGCCGTGTTTCTCGAGGGGAATTCCCCTTGACCCTCGACTCCCCTCAGATACCCATCCACATTTATACGTGGCTATTCTCTCTTCACGCGAGTATTTTTAGCGTTTAGAATTCCACTTGGGGATTAACTAACCTGAGGTGGCTAATTATTTAGGGAAAATTATTTTTTTGGGTATTGTTGTCTTCGGTAGACGCTCCCGGACATTTTGTCTTAGGTTTCGTAATTTTTTACTCTGCCATTTTCGAGTGATGGGAAGTTGAGTTTTGCGGAATTTCAGTCTTTTGGCTGGTATGAAAAATCGATGGATGAATATGGATGAATACTCCTCTCTCTCGCTCTCATTGTCGCTTGTATACCTTTCCCCCCCAATTCTCGGAATTCTCGAGTATTTAGGGATTAGCGTGTATTTCTACTCTCCCCAAATGTTTATTTCGGCACATTTGAAGTATTTATCGACGATATTAATTTCTTCGAATATTTTTTGTCAGATCAGACTATTTTTTATCAGAGTGCGGAATTAATATTATGATTATTATTATTGTCAGTATTGTTAGTTATTAATTGTGGATTTATATTTTTTTTTTTGAGAGAATTGCAGTGTTTTTTTTTTTTTTGTAAAATTGGTGATTATTAAATTTCAATAGTGAAACCAGTAAGGATAATGTCGATCTTTTTTTTTTGCTGTTTCGTAGTTTGGACTGCCCCATTAACCCGTTTTCACCTAAAATCCACCCCTCTCTCTACAACCTAGCACACTGAGCGAACCAAGGACCGTTACCTTTCCCCAAAAATGTAGTTTTCTCCGTTTTTTTTTTTACGTTTTAGAGTTTTTCGAATTAGTAAAGTTGATTGTGTAGATTCCTTCGGTTTGGTAATTCCGGTTAAAAATTACCTGGCGCCCATAGATTTCTGCATTTTTGCGTCTAACTAGATTCAAGGGAAGAAGGGCGAATGTAATAGGCATTTTAACCCCCATGAAAAATGTCACGTTACAAGCGTTTAAAAGCAATGGGAATGGTTCAAGAAGTTGGTAACTGGGTTCCATATGAATTGAAAGAAAGAGACATGGAACGTCGAAAAACAATTTGTGAAATGCTACTTCAAAGACAGCAAAGAAAAGGATTTTTACATCGAACAGTCACAGGAGATGAAAAATGGATATATTATGAGAATCCTAAATGCCAAAAAGCTTATGTGAAGCCAGGTGAACCCGGCCCATCCCAGCCAAAAAGAAATATTCACAGTACCAAGGTTATGCTCTGTATTTGGTGGTGTATATATGAGGTTTCTCAAACCCTCTCAAAGTGTTAATGGAGAAGTTTACTGACGACAACTAATGCCTTTAAAAACGACCAGAATGGGTGAATAGGCACACTAAATTAATTCTTCAACATGATAATGCCAAACCGCATACCGCCCAAGTTGTGAAAAGATATTTAGATGGAAAGGACTGGGAAGTGCTACTCCACCCGCCATCTTCACCAGACATAGCTCCTTTAAATTTCAACTTATTACGAACACTGCAGTCAGATCTTACGGGAGAACGGTTCACTTCTTACGAAAGTACCAAAATTTGGCTTGATAATTGGATCAGCTCAAAAGACCAGGATTTCTTCAGACAAGGAATACGTAAATTACCTGAAAGATGGGCGAAGGTTGTAGCTGCAGATGGAGCACACTTTCAATAAACTTTTCTTTAATTTTCTAAACAATAAATGTGTTTTATTTGTACAAAAAAAGGCGGAGTCCTATTCACACACCCAATAATAAATGCTTCGAGTGACCCCCTCGAAACCCTACAATTTTTATATCCAGCGTTTTTTTGTTACTTGCTCCCCTGAGGAGATTTTGTGCCGAATTTTTTCAAATGGGACACCCTTTTTGAAAAATGCATTTCTCCGAGGGTTATAATTTTTTTTTCTACTCTTGTATAAAGATTGGGGTCTTGTCACTTCGGAGGGTTTTTCTGGGCTATCTTATTCATCTTTTAACCCTCCTGAATTGGCGTTCGGTGCCCACACGAGTCCACTGGCTCGGTGAGCAACGCGCCGCCCGTGTTACGGTTAGCGCGGTGTTGCCACATTGGAGCCCTATACCTGAATAAAAATCTACACTACTCACATATTTCTTGTATTAAATACCATTTATCCTCTAAAAAAAAAATTTGCGTTTTTTATGAGACGTGAAACACGGCACGTGATAGAGATATAGACGTTCCTAGTAAGTCTGAACTGAAACGAACGACGTGGCAACAGCGCGGCTAAAAACCGACTACAGGAGTCCACTGGCTCCGGGCGGCGAGGCGCCGCTTTTCCGTACCAGTCTCACTAAATTATTATTTTTCATAGTATTCATGGGGTTTCCAAGGGATAGGAATCTTACCAGTCAATTCTAGATGGTTTGAATTAGGAATTGTAATTTTTACAAATTTTTTCATACATAATTTTGCAGGCAACAAGAAAAAATCGAGAAAAGGCGGCGCTTTCCTCATTGAGCCAATTCAGGAGGATTAAAAAAATTCAGCCTGTCGGCTATTATTCCTAATCCAAACCATATTTGAATAAACTATTTAATGCACCGAATTTTGTATTAAAAAATGTCTTCTAAATCATAAATGGTTGATGTTTTACTACACCAATGTTGAATTTACTTGGATTTCATTTGGCGGTCTTATCGTGTTTAGACAGGTGATCAGGCTCGTGGATCATTCGTAAATTCAGGTGCAGGTATCCGGGTGTGCCGTTGGTCCCCAGATGGTACAAAAATGGCAACTGCAGGTGATGATGAAAAAACTACGCTGTGGGATATGACGTCTCTGGAGGAATTACAGTACGTAATAGGAATGAACAACAGTCAATACCGCCAGTGACTGAATTTTGGAGCTGGTACGAGTTATAAGACCCACTGTTACATTTAGTTAATAATCCATAAGACGCAATATAGGAACTGTGACAAACTGTTGTTCAATGAAAACTGCAGATTGCTCAGCTTCTCTGAATCCAAAAACAATTACGCAGTAGTAATACCTCAAGAGCTTCAAAATTATCGGGTATTTCCCGATAGCTTCGTTGCAAACAAATAAGGGTGTCAAGTTTTGCACGTTAAAAAATCCCAAGTGCTTGCGCGAAGGATTTTTCTGCATAACTTGGTACGATGGTTTGTTTGCGGAGGAGCTTGAGGGAAATACCCGATTAATTTTGTATCTCGAGGGGTATTTGTTGGATTATTTTTCCTAATCGGATTTTGGCCAAGCAGAGTGCAGCGGAGAAAAGCAGAAGGTGAATTGGGGAAGATTTGAACAAATTATGTTAATAGAATGAACCGATTTTCATACACTGTCAAATATAAGATTCTATCTGAAATCAGCCGAAAAAATGAAGCACTACTGCGAAATATTCAGGTTAGATAGATAGATAGATATATGCGCGGCTGGTCGATTAAACGCTCAGAGTTACCTAGATCTTACGATTTTTTGTAACTTCCACTTTTTTTCCCTGGTCAGTGTATCAGCCCTAGCCCTATGCCTTTCACCAGGCTAATAAGGCTGTGTACCGCCACTTTGCTTAAATCCTCTGGTTCCAGAAAAGCCTGGCCCCAGTTTTTATGTCTGCAAATAGCTAACAGGGGGCATTTACACAGAATATACGCGGCGTCATCGCTTTTCCCTCCGCATAGCCTGCAGTCTTCCTGCTCGGCCAACTTCGTTTTGTATAGGTGACCCCTAAGAGCTGCGTGGCCCGTAAGGAGGCTTACCGCGACCCTCAAGTTACTTTTGTTCATATCCAGAAGTTCCATTGTTCTTCTGCTCGACTGCCTTCCCATAAACAGCTTTGCCTCTCTACATATCGTAGTATTTCTTCAGCGTTTTCCATGTTCCCGCTGGAGGATCCTTTTCAGTTCCCTCCTTGGCGGATTCGTCTGCCTCTTCGTTACCTTCTATTCCATGTTGGCCCGGAACCCAGGTTAGGATGATTTTATTGTTCTCCCCTAATACGGCTAGTGCCTGCATGTACTCCCACACTACGTTGGATTTAGTAGTGGCCTTCTCCAGTGCTTTGATAGCTGCCTGGCTGTCGCTGCAAGTGAACATTTTCATCCTTTTCACTTCCTTCGCCAGGAGATGTTGCGCACATCTGGTAATACCCAACACCTCAGTTTGAAAGACCGTCGCATATTGGCTCAGAGAATGACTCCCTCCGTAGTCATCCCTCAAGCAATAGATCCCAGTCCCAAGCGTCCCAAAGTATTCCGTCCCGGATCTCGGTCTGACTTCTGAGTTCAGCCACTCCTCTCTGGACGAGATCCTAGCCTTGAATGCTTTCTTTATCTGATATTCCCTTCGGATTCTATCAGATTTGCCCACGAAGGTATTCTCAATTATCAGCCCAAGTCGTGTGTGTCCTTGGCTCATCGTTTTCCATTCCCGTTGACATCTAAGTCTGTAGGTTGTGGTGCTTGCACAGCCGACTAGTTGGAGGTCCAAGGGCTGAATACTGAGTGCTATCTCTAGCGCCTCAGTGGGTGTGGTTTTCATGGCCCCTGTCGCGGCCCTCAAGGAAGTTCCTTGTAAGCTATGCAACAGGTTCCTTGTTTCCACCGTTCCGCCATAGGCCACCAAACAATCGCTGCGTACATCAATCTTGGCAGTAATCCCATCTGATAGAGCCACAACATTATTCTGGGATTAAGCCCCCAGGTTTTGCCAATGGCTCTTCTGCACACTCACATTGAGGCATACACTTTGTTTCTTTGTACATAGAGATGTTCTTTCCAACCGAGATTGCTGTCTAGGAGTACTCCCAGAAATTTTACTCTGCTGGGAGAATTTACCGTTGAGCCGTTCCGACTTGACGGCTGAATGGCCTCTGCCTTGTAATTCCTAGTGAAGACTACGAGTGTAGTCTTGGCCGGGTTGACTGAGAGCCCAGTTTCCCTGCACCAGCCCTCAACGATTCTGAAGGCGTTGTCGTCAGGTCTCTGAGCACCGCAAGAAAACCACCTCTAACCACAATTGCTACATCATCAGCAAAGCCAGTGACATGGAACCCCTCTTCACGCAGTCTGTTTAGGAGTTCGTCCACCACTAGGTTCCACAACAGAGTTGGTAAGACTCCTCCCTGGAGACATCCCTTGGCAGAGCACCCCTCCACACAGCTGTCCATGTTTCACTGTCAGTTTTCTGACCTTCAACATGCTTTGTGTCCAAGCAATGATCGCCCTGGGGATCTCATGCTTTTCCATCACTCTTTCTATGACTGCATTAGTGGTGGTATCGAAAGCTCCCTCTATGTCTAGAAAGGCCCTTATGGCATATCTCTTGACGGCAAATTGTCCCTCTATAAGTCCCACCAAATGATGTAAGGCGGTGTCTGCAGATCTTCCCTCCCTGTAAGCATATTGGGAGGGAGAGAGGGAATGCTCAACCAAGGGTCCCATCTTTGTATACCTATCCACCAGTCTCTCAAGCATCTTCAAAAGGAAGCATGTGAGACTTATTGGACGGAAATCTTTTGGATTTATATATCCAATCTTACCAGGCTTTGGAATTAATACAATTCTAGTCTTGTTCCATACCCTCGGAACATTTCTCAGAGCAATGCTGGCCCTGAGAATTTTTGTTAAAGACCCGACGATGATTTCTATCCCCTTCTGTAGTAAGGCTGGGTAGATCCCATCTGGTCCCGGTGCCTTGAAAGGTTCAAAGGTTTTTACAACCCATTTGATCCCCTACGGTTGCACTATTTTTCCTGCCAAGTTCCAGTCATGAGGTTCATATTCACCCCTCTGATTCCGCCTTGGTTCCTCTCTCTCTCCCCCTGGATCTCAGTGAACCCTGGAAAGTGCGTGTTCATAAGGAGTTTTAACGTTTCCCCTATTATTTCCGTATGACTGCCATCAGGTGCCTGCAGGCTCCCTAGATATGCAGTTCTGTTTGTACCAAGGATTTTTGCCAGCCTACTAGTCTCTGACTGACTTTCAATCGAACTCGTGAAGGCCTTCCAATACCTGTTCTTGGAAGCTTTTATTTCTTTGTTATATTTTCGGAGAAGACCTCTATAAGTCTCCCAGGCTGCTTCCTTACGAGGGCCTTCCCTCGCATTTTTTACCTCGTTCAAAGCTCTTCTGGTTTCCTTCCTGAGTTCCCCAAGCACATTCTCTGACCACCAGGGTACCTCAGTCACCTGCCTTCTCTGTGATATCTTGCAGGTTTCCTCATATGAGTCAATTATTGCCTGGTTTAGGGCCTCCGCGGCCTTCTGCAGTTGCTTCCTGCTCTTAAACCTGAGATGAATATCTTTTAGCCTAACAGATAGATATACTCGATATTTCTTCCAGTTGGTTCGCCGTTGATTTTCACTCCACTCAGTTTCTCTCTCGGAGCAAACGGACATCCTTATGGTCCTATGATCAGAGGCTGAGAGGTCTTTTAGACCCGCCAGTCCCTAATTAGTCCCACCACATCATCCGTCCCCAGAGCAATGTCCATGACCTCCTGACGTCTACGGTCAACGAAAGTTGGTACTGTTCCCCTATTTAATATATTGAGGCCCGCCCCCATAATGAATGTCTGAAGGCTCTTCCCCCTGTTATTGCTGTCAGTGCTCTCCCAGTCCGCATGATGGGAGTTTGCATCGTAGTCCAGCAGGAGCTGGAGCCTCCCCTCTTTCACATGGTTGCAGAGGTCTTTCACTTTCTCCGATGAAGGTGGCTCAACTGCATCGTAGGGCATGTAAGCTGACCCCACCATCAAATCTATGCCCTAGTTTCAACCTTACTTGAGCCACACTTGGATCTCCTCCGCTGATCTGTGAACAAAAAAAAGAGTCTATTACCTCAGTTGTTATGCAAGTTCTGAATTTTTAGTCAATGTCGGCGTGATAAATCCTGCCGATTCCACTCCATCCTTTGATAGCATTATTTATGATGCATGGTTCTTGGACCAATGTTATTGCTGTCTGCATCTCAGCTAGTAACCTGACTAACGTCGCCGAGGCCGCCATACTGTAATGCAAGTAAATCTGTACAATGTGCACCCGACTCGTAGCCATAAGATCTATTCTCAGGCACTTCCACTGTATCCGCCTTCTTTACCCCACTGCGGTCCTTTCCAAGTTCCCTTACAGTTGCCTTTTGTAGTCCACAGTAAGGTCAGAAGTTTCAGGCCTTCAGACCCGCGAGCGCACTATCATCGATCAGTGCAGCAAAATAGGCAATTTTAGCGTCCCTAGTTTCACTGCCCCGAACGACAACCCAATTGCTCGCCAGCAGACCCTCGTTTTGCTTCTCAAGGAAGCACAATACTTCCTGAGAAGTGATCGGGTCCTCCACGTGCACCACTACCCGGTGCTTTTTTGGAAGCTCCGAGAGTAACACAACGTGTATGATATGCCCACTCATTTTATTTTCAGGAAATAGGCTTTTCAGCCAATTTCCTATAGCCTCATCTGTGCAGTTCACCACAACCGCACCGTCTTTCGCCCAGACCCCGTCGAAGGTGGGTGTCTTGACTCCATCCGGTAGGGCTAAAATAGTCCCCTTCAGGAGCTTCCTCATCTCTGTCACCCCTCGGCATCCAGTTTTTGGTCCGGATACGACTGAGGTATCACTGCCAGATTATGTTAGCAGTATTTTGAGCATGTGTGCCCTGATCCTGCTTCTTCTGCTTTTTTTCCTTCGGCCCAGTGTGAGGACTGGTCGTATTGTGCTCAGGATAAAGTCGTTTATCAGCCTTCCCCTGAGCACCCCTAGTAACTCCCACTTCAGTCAAGGCGGCAGCCTCGACCAAAGTTTCTAAAACCCTCGTGGTCTGCTGTTGTCTCAGTCTTCTG